TTGATGAATAAAACTCTGTTTGGCCAATAGAGGCAGGAAGATAGGTGAGACTAGGAGATGAGGAGAATTCTGGGAAAGGTAGGCAGATGGAGGCTTTGGGGAGATGTGTAGCCACCAAAGGAGTAGCAGGTCTGGGCATTCTCCGGTAAGCCAAGACTATGTAGAAATACATAGATTAACAGAAATGGGTCAATAATTAAGACAGAGCTGGACAATAAGTACCCTAGCTATAGGCTAACAGTTTAATAATATAGCATCCATGTGTTTATTTGGGGCTAATGGTGGGAATGTGTCGGAACAGAAACCTCCAGCAACAGACTAGCTTATATTGTACTGAAGAGGTGCTATACAAGCTTTCAAGAGAGGGAAGCAACCAGTAGCCCTACCCAATTATGACACCTATGAACCACAACAATGACTAACATGACTAATATGACATGATGATACTAAGGGTGCCATAGTGACACTTATACCTTGGTGATGAGTAACAGCTGCCTAATTGAACTTAAAAACCTACTTAATAAGAGAAAAGTCATGCCTGATACTGAAAGCCCAGAGAACTACCCAGGGATAGTGAACTTGTGGATCCCAGAGAAGACCTAACTACTGGCAGTTTACTAAACTAGCATAACTCCTCATTGCATTTAAAATACTTATCCTCACATCCACGGATCCAATAAATTACTCTTAGTGATATATGGACATTATTGCAGAAGATGGATGGGGAGTGTTACCACAACTGGTCAAAAAGCAGAGAAAAGAGATTGTGGGGTGCCCAGGCTCAGATGAGACAAACACAGCACAAATTCTGTATTTAAGGCTCAGGGTCAGGGAACACTGTGGAAGGGGGCACAGAAATATTGTAAGAGCTAGAGGAACAGGGAGTCTGCTGTGAGGATGTGTCTCCTAGAAGAGAGGGAAGATTCACCCATGCTATCTCAACAGTACCACTGCCTAAACAAGACCTGAAGAAGTACAACAGCAGTAGACATAACAACATGGACAGTGGAAATATCAAGGGACACTGCCAGAGACAAGGAACTTCAGGCAATACCAGAGAAATAGCCGTTCTTAGGGATAAGCCCCTAATAGGTTATCCAATTATCCAATACCAAATGGTTAGTCTTGGTATCATATGCACACACAAGTAACAACAAATGGGCAAATCACGCTGTGTTTGTATGAATAGGTGTATTTCAAGAGAAAACAATGGCTAGTGAATGGAAAATATTGGAGGAAGGAAAGGGAAGGAGAGTGATGCAATATTTAATTGAAAATATATATTAGAACACTTTCTTTTTCATTTTAGTATTGCATTTCTACCCACTGCAATTTTCTGTTAAGGGAGAACCTGCGACATGGGAGACAGGCCCATACATTGATCAGGCACCTCCTTAAAATGGAACTGAAAATTGGGTGTCACTGGGTACCTCTTTGTTCCGAGCACACAGGAGGCATAGAAAGGTGGATCTCTGTAAGTTCAAGGTCTGCATTGTCTACATAGCTAGTTCCAGGCCAGGGAGCTACATAGTGAAACCCTGACCCCTGGCAAAACCAAAAACATAAACAAGGAATTTGTGCTACTTCAGGAAGTAAAGAGTCTGTCATGAGTCCTTCTGTGCATAAGCAATATAACTCAGAAAAACTGCATGTCTTCTCTCTGTCTTCTTAAAAGATGACATAAAAAGCCACAGCTGTCTGACATGGATGTTGGTGACAGGAATAAAAATAAAAATAAATAAACCCAGGTACAGCTCTTAAAACATCAGCACTAAGTGTTCAATAAATGTTAGCTACTGTACTCATCATTACCGAAACACAAAGGGCATCTAGGAAAGTCCCTGGGATCACTTGATGGAGGGTTTTGAATAAAGGTTCTGGGAGGAGGTAATCCTGTGCCAAGTTTACAAAAATTAGGAAAATGGTTCAATTTCAAGAGAGTAGAAAGGGTATTTCAGACACCCAAGGTAACAAATAATGATATAAAGACGACAGAAAACTGTGCTGTGTGTGCAAGAATATATGAGTACAAAAGACATATTTACAGAGTATAGATTTTGAGTCCAAGAATACCAGGTTTGACATACCAATGGGTGTAAAGCTTTGGGTAGATAATGGAGGACACTGATTATTTTGTTAAGAATTTTTAATTTTCTCCTATATTATGTATTTTATCATATTTATTAGTTTCCAAATGTATTTTATTTATTGCTTTGAAATGAAACAAACAAAACCATAGTGGAGATACCTAAAATTAGATTGAGGGCAGCATATTTATTTTCATTTCTATGTTTTCTGATTATACATATATATACCTACATACATATATATATATATATAAGATAGCAGATTTAAAATCTCCCTCACTCCAGTAAATAGGAGAGACAGAATAGCAATCAGTTGAGAACTGAGATCTTAACATTAAAATGTGTTTTACAATATATTCATTACATTTGCAACTGACCCATATAATAGGTTGACCATGTTTATTGCAGTTATTAATTCAGAATGTCTACAGCATTAGGGTGAAGTAAAATGTCAAAACCATTTAGTGAAATCCATATTCTGATTAAGACTATGTGTGCTGAGTTTCTCATTCATTCAATATAGTCATGGGCAATAACAATCTATCTATGTTTATATACCACATTTAATCATTAAAGTCCAGACCATTTGGTAAACAAAAATTATTCCATTGTTCACCTATAACAATAATGGTGCATGCAGAAATAATATAATACTAAATACAGAAACCTGGCAAAAATATATGGAATAAAATAAATATCATGAATTCATATGAATGATCTGGCTTAGATACAGCATAGAATCCTGCATTGAAGCAGCTGAAGAAAGCAAGAAGGGACCTTTGTCAATCTCATTCTCCAATGGTTTCATTTTACAGACAGGAAACTGATTTCTATGGTTTAATTCTCTCTGGTTCCCACTATATAACAGCATTAACTTTATACCACCACTTGAAAAAATCATATATATATTTATTATTTATTTTTAAGTTTAAATTTAGTTTAGAAACAAGGTTGCTTCACAAGTCAGTTCCAGGTCCCTCTCCCTTTATCTCCCCTCCTCCCGTGCCCTCCCCGCAATCCCTCCCACTATCCCCTCATTTCCCCAGGGAGGGTGAGGCCCTCCATGGAGGTGTCCATAGTCTGTCATTTCATCCAGGGCAGGGCCTAGACCCTCCCCCAAGAGTTCAGGGTGAGAGTGCATCTCACATTGTTGGATGGAACTGATGTGAGAAGTATATATTATTAAGGTTATGTTATTGCAACTACTTGGTTTAGAAATTAAAATTCTGAGAGTTCCATAAATGGAACACTCAAGATGTTGCCATGTTCACTGCCAAGGGATTCTAAATTGGAAGCTGGGAATGTGCTAAAGTAAGTTGGCATCTAGTTGGAGGCTGATTGTTCTCATACCTGTTCATATTCTCACATTGCCTCTATATAAATGCCAATACATGTGTTACTTTCTTCTAGAAAGATAGCCAATGGTAATCCTTTATCATAGTTTGGATTGTTCAGGTTCTGTCCAAAATGCACAAAGCCCCATAAGCTGTCTCCAAAGTTAAATCAGGGATTGTATATAGCATCCATTTATTGAGTATCTCTTATTTGAAATGCCTGGGGCCCACAAATATTTCTGATTTAATATTTTGTATATTATGTTTTGTAGACATAATGAGATATACAGATACAGAAACCAAGTATAAATACAAAATTTTTAAAGTTCTGGGTCGAATTTTATACTAATACCCTAAAGGTAATTTTATACACTTTGTTTGCTTGCTTGCTTTAGAGAAAGAGTCTCACTGTGTAGCATTGGCTGGCCTAGAACTAACAATGTAGACATTTTAAATATTCCTGTGCATGGAATAAAGTTTATTCTTGTAAAAAAAATTTCCAGTTGTGACTTCATGCAAACACACAGAATGTTCTGCATTTTGGAATGTTTTCAGATTATACATACTCAGCGTATAGCTGCAATTGTGAGTTAAAACTGAGGCATTGAGTTGGGCCCCCAAAATTCTGAGAGCTCTCTGCCTTGAGCATCAGTTTGTAGGCAACCTCATCCTCTTGTCTCTTGCCTTTCTTCACCTTGCAAGAGAAGTCTTGTCCCAATTCCCATTTGAACTTCTAGCTAAGCCTTAAGGTGGATCTCTCAATAAAACATTTTCTTCTACCTCCACACTTCGTTCATAGAATCATAAGAAATAATAATCCTTTAAAGGTGCTGAATTTGTGTCTAGCTTAATACCCATTCACCCATACTAAAACAACTACTTATGTGTAGGATTCATATTTTACTTCTATGGTGCAGAGATATTTTCCTCATTTACTCTCTGGTTCACTGGGTTCTTTTTTATTGATTTTTAATTTATTTCTGAATAATATTTTTTCAAGACAAAAATTTTTATTACATTTTTTTAGAAAAGAGCTTGCTTCACATGTCAATCCCAGCTCCCTCTCCCTCCCCTCCTCCCGCACCTCTCCCACCATCCCCCTTAGCCTCCCACCCCATTCCCACCTCCCTCCACACAGGGGATATCCAGAGTCTGTCACCTTGCTCAGAGCAGGGTCCAGGCCCTCCCCCAAGAGTCCAGTCTGAGAGAGCATCGCTCCCTGTGCCATGGAGACACGAAGTCCATCTGTATACCAGGGATAAACACTGGTCCATTGCCCAGGGCCCCACAGGTTGCCCAGGCCTCCCCATGGACTCTCACACTTAGGGGGTCTGGATCAGCCCCATGCTGGCTCCCAGCTGTTGGTCCGGGGTCCAAGAGCTCTCCCCTGTTCAGGTCAGCCGTCCCTGCTGGCTTTGCCAGCCCATTCTTTGTCCATTTGCTCATCACTCCACTCTCTCTGTCACTGGGTTCCAGGGGTTCAGTTAAGTTTCACTGGGTTCTTAAAGGCCACTGGAGTCTGTAGTTCGAGGTTAGAATGTAGAGCTTTGAAAGATCTGAGGCATGACACCCAGAAACAGAGTCAGGGCACCCCAGAATCACCCATGGCTGTAGCAAAGGAAGACCCTGGGATGGCTCTGTATACAGCGACTGTCTCGTAAACTTACTGGGCAGAGGTAACAGGTTATGCTAAAGCGTTCCTTCAAGCTCCCGGCATCAAGGGAAAGAAAGAGTTCAGGGCAGAGACCGAGGTCCTCTAATTACTGTGGTGACTGGCTAGTGGCTGTTGTGAATATGACATTGCACTGAGAAAATCTGAAAGAACAGAAACCGTGTTCCAAGGAAGAAATTTGAATTGGTTCAATTTTGAGCAGAGCCTCAGATGTGCATCAGCATAGGCATGTTGGCGTGGATGCTCATCCTTTGAGTTAGGCTGCTGCAAGCTGAGAGGTGATTCCACATGTCGAGCAAGAGGAGGGAATCACATCAGCTGCCCTATGCTAGAAGTTATTTTACAAATTGTAACTTGTATTCACTTACCTTGTGTTAAACTGAAGCTTTCTCTGCATTCCTAGATGCTGGAGTATCTAGAGACACTCAGTAAGTATTATTTCCCACGTGCTACCCGTAACTGACACAGCAGCCTGGACTCACTCATTACCATTGTCTCTCACATAGCTGTGTGGTGGGGTTAGCAGAATAAGGAAGGTTTGATGAACACTGGCATTTTAAGGGTCCCTTTCACATAGTTGCTGAGTTTGTATTTCTGGGCAGAAAATAAGACTCAAAGACATAATATATTTTGCATGTGGACTTTCTGAGGGTCAGAGCACCCTGTAAGGGGTAAAATTTCCTCACTTGGTTTAGGTGAGCCAGTGAGAGCATGATTCAAGACAGTCGTAAATGAAGAGAGCTACACTTGACTCGGTCAGATTTCAAACATGGTAAGTTTAGGCCCATTTAACTGTGCTTCCTTGTGTTTAAAATAAGTGTACTAATAGTGTCACCCTTGTAGAGTTGCAGAGATCCCATTTGCACAAGCATTGGTATAAATATAAAGATCTTGGCACAATGCATATGTATTCTACTGTCAAAAGAAATTTCAAATCATTTTTTGTTCATTAATATTCAATAGGCTTTAAGGTAATATTAATAAAAAATTCCATGAACTCTAGTATCTCAGCAATTTCCAGGTCAGTATACACTAGCAAAATCAACATACAACACTTGGTAGTGATCTGTTTCACTCACCTTTGTCTGTGTCTGTGAATTCAAGGAAATTATTATGTGATGTTAACTATAAGAGTGCTCTCTCTCTCTGTCTCTGTATGTGTGTGTGTGTGTGTGTGTGTGTGTGTGTGCGTGTGCACGTGCTCGCACGGGCACACACATGTGTGCCCGTGTGCGCATGTGCATTTGACCTAATCTGTCTCTAAAATCATACTCTAACTTGGCCTAAGGTGCTTTAAGGTTTATTTTCTACTAAATCAGTAACATAAGATGTATATGGTAAAATCCAATATTTACAGAAATTATTCAACTGCAATAGCATTGGATTTGAAGCCCGTGATACAAGAGGGAGTTTAATGGTCAAAAGCCCATGGCTGGCGCTAGGTTAGAACCTGATATTGTCACTTTACTAAATGACAATGCTCTGTGTTAAGTTGCTTTCTATATATTTATTTTTATGTGCATAGACTTGGACTGCTCTCAACTTTTACCTGACTCATTTTGCTATGAGATATAACTGGTCAAAGCAGTAAAAAACAAGAGACTACATATTCAGTCCTAAAGATGGAAGGTCTCTCTCAGTATCCCCAGCACTACCAGACTCAGGAGACAGAATGGAAGAGCTGGATGAGTAGGAGGAAAATTCTGGAGTCAGCATGGCTGTTGCAGCCATAAGTTCGAACTAGGTTGGGTTACATATGCAAGACCTGCACAAGATTAGTCCAGCCCCAAATCCATCCTGGATGGGGAAGTTGAACATCAAGCCTCGTGGTTTTCTAAGGGACTATTGGCAGTAATACTGGTGGAGAAAGATTCATTCCTTTTTTTGTCCCCTCAAAATGTGAAACCACTGGTAGATTTCTCATGCCCCACTGGGTAGATAGCCTTACATCCATGTACATATTGGCTAAACTAATTGGACTTAGACGGGGAGAGCAGATAAACAGAAGACATAGTGAAGTGGTGGCGGAAACATATTATTAGAGAATTTATGGGGAGTAGAAGAAGAGAGATAAGGGGTGAACATGGTCATGTTCCATTGTGTACTATATGAAATTCATAAGACTAAAGAAAAAGTAATATTAAAAATTTTTAATTGTGTAGGTGTAAGTTTGCCTTGGTTTTCTCTCTGTTCTGGTTCATGAGATAACCATTTGAGCATATACAAACCACTCTATTAGTTCACTATTAGCCATGTTCAGCAGAAGTCAAGTCCATGTGGCTTCTTGTTTTTTTTTTCTTTTTGGTTTTACGAGACATGGTTTCTCTGTATTGTTTTGGAGGCTGTCGGTCCGGCCCGGCCTCGAACTCACAGAGATCTGCCTGCCTCTGCCTCCCGAGTGCTGGGATTAAAGGCCTGCGCCACCACCGCCCGGCCCATGGGGCTTCTTGATCTTTGAGTTTAATTTCTGTATTTCTGAAGTAAATAAACCTCACAGTTCATAAACAGCCTTTGTCAGGTATTTCATTAGAGTAATAGAAAGCTGACCATGCACTTTTGTGTTTTTAAATTTGCCATTATTCACTTTGTAGCATAACTTACACTCCAATCACTATCTTGTAATCATTTTTGAGCAGTTACCCACTTCTATAAAAAGAGTTGAATGATAAGTGTTGCTCATTTTCTGAATCTTCTTCATGGAAACTACCCGAGAGGTAAATCATTGGCACCTAAAATTAAAGGAATAAAAAGTACATAAACTGCTTAATGTATAGATAAAAGGATAACTCATCATTTTCTTCCTAAGGGATATTTTTTATAAGAAAGTGTTTCAACTAAAATACCTGATAAGTAAAAACAGAATTTTCAAGCATTTTGACAAAAGATTTAATAATTTAGCAGCATTCTTCTCTTCCTTTGAAAGGATTTGCAGACGTAAAACTCGTTTACATAAATGTAATAATCAGCAGTATAGAATTGTTTTTAGAATGAATAAGATTCCAGAGTTGTCCTATTGAATAAGTTTAAAGATTAAATTTTCAAGAAAAAATAAAATCTCAATATAATAGAACTAAACTTGGAATTGATCAAAAGACAAATTTGCTAGATGCTATCTTAACAATAATGAAGGTTCAGAAAAGAATGCCTCTTCAACCTGAGAAGGTTTGTAGTTTCAGTGTGGAACATTTTAGAGAACTGAGAACATAGAGACTTGGATCAAGAGAGAACGATTTATAAGATCTGAAAAGTATCCAAAGACAATTTTTTTCTTTTATTATTATTATTTTTTTATTTTCCATTTTAAATTTAGATAAGAAACAAGGTTGCTTCACAAGTCAGTTCGAGGTCCCTCTCCCTTTCCCTCCCCTCCTCCCGTGCCCTCCCCCCATCCCCCCCCCCCGTTATCCCCTCAATCCCCCAGGGTGAGGCCCTCCATGGGGGTGTCCATAGTCTGTCATTCCAAAGACAATTTTTAAAGATATTTAATTTGGAAAATGTCTTCCATGGGTCCAACATCTGGATCCCAAACTATTTAAATTCAGCAATAAAGTGGACCAGAGCCTGATTTCCCCCTTGTAATTTTTGAGGAGTGTGTAGTATGGAAATTTGCAGGTCAAGTATTTATTACCACATGCTCTCATTTCTCCTTATAAGTGAGGCAAGAGAAAAGACATTGACCTTTTCTTGATTCCAAAAGCTGTTTAGTCATTGGCAAGTCCTTTTTCAACTACAAGGATGAGTGTGAATAATAATATAAAAGAGACTGTGAGAGTCTCTATAGGCAGTCTCTTTGGATCTGGAATCAGCATACCTCTCAGTGAGTTCTTGAGGGTCTTTCCTGTAGGCTAAACCCTCCATGAGAGTAGATAGCAAATTCCATTGACTACTCAGATGTAAAAATGTCCTAGCAAGGCTGTACTGCAGTATGTCTGTGCTGCATTCTAGCTGCCTGGTGCTTGTATCCTATTGCTGCCCATACTATTCTACAGCAAAATCAGAATATTTGGTCTTCTAATATGAAGACCAGACATTTTCCAGGAATCTTCCTAGGATTTTAGTACCACATAGAGACTATGGAAGTATCCAGCTTCTTAGACAGGATTCTAAACCTCTCCAGCATTCACACCATCACAGTTGGATTATCCAAGTGTTATTCACTGTAAGACTTTCCAGTAACCCCATCACCATACGAGTCTTTATACTTTGTCATTTCTGCTGTTGGTGTCTTATATATAGGGTGAATTTCATTTAAATGAGAGGTGTAGAAGTGTAAAGTGGCCACTCCTACCACATGCACACAAATAGGGAATTCTTAAAGAGCAGATGATACTTGGTCTGTGGGAGGAAAGATTCAAGATGAATCTGACACAATTACCTTATGCCAGAAATGGGTGCATATGTATGACTTTTGGGGACATGCCATAGAGGGCAACAGCTGATCTTGGGAGTTCTCATTAACAACAAATCTCCTGGAGCATCAAAAGTGCTAACATTTACTGCAAATAGAAATATCAGGACATTTAAGCTTGTGACTTTATAATTACACTCAAAACCATCAGTGATCACCACTAGGTGTTGCTAGGGTACCAATTTATTATTCCAAAAAGAGGCTAAGAAAAAAAAAGACCAGAAGAAAAACTTCAGTGCCTATTTTGATGTTTCTATATGAACTACTTTACAGTAGTACGCAACTTCTTGCTTTCAGTTAAACCTAATTTATCTGTCCTCTAATACTAAAACCAATTAGTATAAAAATTATGGAAATAAGAAAGCATAATCATGGATCCTTGAGGATGTGATCAAACAAATTCTACATGTGGATTCAAGACACATATCCCCATTAGTTCCCCCAAATAAAAAAGAAATGAAGAGACAAAAATATAATAGATTAAAAGAAATTTAAGGGTTAAGACATAGTTCAGTAGTAGAATGCTTGCTTATCATATATAAGATGTACAAGGTCCTAGGTTCTCTCTCTCCCTCTCTCTCTCTCTCACTCTTTTTCTGTTTCTTTCATTCCCTTCCTTCCTCTGACTGTGTGTCTGTGTCTATTCCTGTGTCTGCGTCTGTGTATGTGTTGGTAGATATAGAGAAAGAGATTTCAGTAAATACTTGTGCTACCTACTTTTATGTCAACTTGACATCAGCTAAAACAGTTTGGGAAGAGGGAGTCTAACAGAGCAAATATCTCCAACAGATTGACTTGTGGGCACTGTCATGAATTTTCTTGATTGATAATTGATGTGAGAGGGTACAGGTCACTGTGAGAGGTATCACTCCCCTGGGCTGGTGGTCCTGGGTGCTATAAGAAAGTAGGCAGAGCAATCCATGAAAAGCAAACCAGTTAAAAAACACTCCCCCATGGCCTCTACATCAGAATTCTTGTCCCAACCTCCTTCTATTTTGGACTGTGATGTGGAATATAAGCTGAAATAAACCCTTTCTTCCTTAAGTTGTTTCTGGACAAGATGTTTTATCACAGCAATAGAAACCTTAACTGAAACACTACCAAACAAACGTAGACTTTGTTTTGATCCTAATTTAACAGAGCAACTAGGAATAAAACAAATTTGAAAACAGGCTAGCCATTAAAAAAATACACCATTGATTTTGTTGGGTATGAAATGATGCCAGACTGTATCTTAAAGAGAATTTTAATCCTTTTGTCATGTATTTATGTGTGAGATATAGAGTGAATTAGACTTCAACAAAAAATGGAGGAATGAACAAAAAGAAAACACAGATTGTTAAAGTTTGCAATTGGATGTTGGACTTGAGGAGGCTTGTTATAATATTTTCTATACATTTATGATATATCCATATATATATATATAATTGCATTTAAAAATAAAGTAAAATAAGTGTAAGGAACTGACTTACAGACAATGACTTTCAAGACAGACTCCCATTCTTTTTGTTTTTTAATACTTTAAAGCTCTGAGATCACATATTTAGCAGTTTAGATTTTCCTTGGTTCAGACTCCCTTCTGGTGTTTTGCATTTCCCCCTCTATTTTGTATAAATGACAGATACTCATTTTATAGTCCTTTAAATTTGTGTTCTAGGCATTTCTGAGGTTAAGAAGCCCAAATGACAAGCAAATGAGGATGTGGGGTGCAAGACCTCAGACAGACTTGCTCCTAGAGTAGTGTTTCAGGGTTAAGGAAGCAGAATGTGGAGTGGGTGGATACTGTTCCTGCGCTTATTTTGGCATTGAAGCCCACTACTTAGACACAATGCTCTGATTTTCTAAACTACTGAATGGACAAGGTTTGTTCTGATTGACAACAGACCCTCCAAAATATAAATGAAGGGGAGTATTTGTAAAATTTACAAGGTTCTAGAGGAAAGACGTGAATGTTTCTGAGAATGACTTGGCATCTAAGTGCTCTGAACACACCACGAGGGCTGAATGTGATAGTCACTGAGAGTGATAATCATAGCTCTGACTCTTAATTATCAGGCTAAGGTTGTTCTTTTTGTTTCCCTTCAATGGTTTTCCATCGATCCCTCCTCTCATTTAGCTGCTTTCTAACTGCATAAAGAGAATTATTACAGGAAACTCTAGAGGTAACTAAAAGGACAGAGGGTTATTTTATTTTATTTTATTTTATTTTTGCCTGTATCTTCAATGCCATTCTTTTACATCCTTCTCAGCCAGACTTCTTTTCTCTTGCCTGTCCTTGCCAAAGACACCCTTCTTTCCCCTGTGACAGAAGAATCACCATCTTCTGAGCAGCTGTCTCACAGAGTGCTGGAGTCACTTAACTGGATGAGATTTCTGGGAGCTGAGACATAGGTAATGGCTCTCCCAAACTGACCAAACCAAGGGCAGAAAAAAGAAGACAAAAGAGAGCCGCCATGTCTAAATGCAGACTAGGCATTTGGAAAGTCTGTGAACAGCCTCCTTCTATGACTGAACCCACAGTACTCCACATCGCAGAACTGAGATGATGATGTAAGTTAAGTTGAAAGCAAGGAGGTGATTCTACTCAATGGTAAAGTGATGATGTAATAATTACTTGCTGAATCAGTTCTCTTGGGACTAGCAAGTTGAACTACGCAGAGTTAGGGTGGTTTCTGAATTGCCTAGACTGATTTCCACACTAGTCATGAATATTTATGGAATCTGAACATCACTTTGTGTTATGTAAACAGAGGCTGAATTATTAAATTATTCGTCTATACTGTAATAAATGGAAATTTCTCCTTGTACCTTATCTTTAGTATTGAAAAAATAAGTGCTGTAAGGTCTTCCTTCTCCTGCCCTCCACTCAGGGCAGAGGTGAGCTCCGGCCCTGCCTTGTGTCGACTTCCTTCCACTTGCCCACTCTGGGATCTCCTGGCCTGGGGACTGTAGCCATGTTGACTTTCCCCCAGCTCACCAAGCAACCTGGAGTCTGCTGGTAGCACTGTACTAATCCAGCACCCACCCACTGGTAGAGGGAGTGCCTCAGACCTGCCTGCACCAACCATGAGACCCATCAGAGTATTGGTCCTGCTTGCACCCACCAGAAGAAAACCTTGGACCTGTACCCACCAGGAAAAGAAGAGACCCCATCTGTACCTACTGGAAAAAGGTATGGGAAGGCCACAATGTAAGAACACATTCAACAACAGAAAAACAAATACGACACCACCAAAGTCTAGGGACTCTACACCAGCAAGACATGAACATCCCCACACAGATGAAGAAGAACAGAATGACCTTAAAAACAACTTTATGAAGAGTATAAAGACACTAAAAGAGAAAATCCTTTAAAGAAATGGAAGAAAAGACAAACCAAAAATTGAAAGAAACAATTCAAACAGTGCAAGGTTTGAAAGCTGAAATAGAGACAATAAAAAGCCCACAGTCTGAAGGAATGCTGGAGTTATATAAGGTGAGTAAATGATCAGGAATTACAGATGAAAGCATAACCAACAGAATAAAAGAGTTGGAAAAGAGAATCTCAGGCATTGAAGATTCACTAGGATAAATTGATTCATTGACAAAAGAAAATCTTAAGTCCAACAAATCCCTAACACAAAACAACCAGGAAATATGGGACACCGTGAAAACACCAAATCTAAGGATGATAGGGATAGAAGAAGGTGAAGAAACCCAACTCAAAGGTGCAGAAAACGTATTCAACAAAATCGTAGAAGAAAACTTTCCCAACATAAAGAAAGACATGTCAATGAAAGTACAAGAAGCCTACAGAACACCAAATAGAGTGGACCACAAAAAAAGTGCCCTTGCCACATAATAACCAAAACCCCAAACATACAGAAAAAAGAAACAATATTAAGAGTAGCAAAGGAGCCGGGCGGTGGTGGCGCACGCCTTTAATCCCAGCACTCGGGAGGCAGAGGCAGGCGGATCTTTGTGCGTTCGGGGCCAGGCTGGACCGATAGCCTCCGAAACAATACAGAGAAACCCTGTCTCGTAAAAACCAAAAAAAAAAAAAAAAAAAAAAAAAAAAAAAGAGTAGCAAAGGAAAAAGGCCAAGTAAAATATAATGGCAAACCAATCAGAATCACACCTGACTTCTCCATGGAAATTCTGAAAGCCAGAAGATCCTGGATAGATATTCTACAAACACTAAATGGATCCTAGCCCAGACTACTATACCCAGCAAAACTCTCAATCACTATACATGGAGAAAACAAGATATTTCACGACAAAACCAGATTAAACAATACATATCCACTAATTCAGCCCTACAGAAAGTACTGGAGGGAAAACTCAACTAAAGAAGGTAACTACACTCACACAAAACAGGCAATAGATAATCCAACTTTACCAAAATCCAAAAGAAAAGGCAGGGTAAATCCACAAACAATAACACCAACAACAACAAATAAAAAACAAACAAGAATTAACTCTCAATGGTACTTAATCTCCCTCAATATTAATGATCTTAATCTGCCTATAAAAAAACCACAGGCTAACAGAATGAATATGAAGACAGAATCCATCCTTCTGTTGCATACAAGAAACACACCGTAACTTCAAAGACAGGCATTACCTCAGAGTAAAGGGTTGGGATAAGATTTTCCAATCAAATGGACTTAAGAAACAAGCTGGTGTAGCTATCCTAGTATCAAACAAATTAGACTTCAAACTAAAATCAATCAAAAGAGACGAAGAAAATAGTTTCATATTCATCACAGGAAAAATCCGTCAGGAAGAAGTCTCAGTTCTGAACATCTATGCCCTATATACAAAGGCACCCTCGTTCCTAAAAGAAATATTATGAAAACTCAAATCACACATAAGACCTCACACAGTTACTGTGGGAGACTTCAAAATCCCTCTCTCACCACTAGACAGGACTACCAGACAGAAACTTAACAAAGAAACAAGGGAACTAACAGAAGTTATCACCCAATTGGGTTTAACAGACATCTATAGAACATTCCATCCAAACACAAAAAAATATACCTTCTCAGCACCACATGGAACCTTCTCAAACATTGACCACATACTTGGCAACATAGTAAACCTCAGCAAATACAAAAAAAATCAGAATGACCCGCTGAATCTTATCAGACCACCATGCTTTAAAGTTAGAATTCAACAACAACACAAATTGCAGAAACCCTACAAACTCATGGAAATTGAACAACATACAATTACACCATTTCTGGGTCAAGGAAAAAAATAACGAAATTAAAGACTTCTTAGACTTTAATGAAAATGAAGACACAACATACCCAAAATTATGATACAATTTGAAACCAGTGCTAAGAGGAAAGTTCATAGCACTAAATGCTCATATGAAGAAACTGGAGAATAGTCACACTAGAGAATTAACAGTGCAATGCAATTGAAAGCTCTAGAAAAAGAAGAAGTAAACTCACTGGGAGGAGTAGACACCAGGAAATAATCAAATTGAGGGCTGAACTCAATAAAGTCAAAACAATACAAAGAATCAATGTAACAAAGACTTGCTTCTTCAAGAAAATCAACAAGATAGACAAACCTTTATCCAAACTAGTCAAAAGGCAGAAAGAGAACATGCAAATTAACAAAATCAAGAATGAAAAGAGCGACATAACAATGGACACTGAGGAGATTCTGAGAATCTTCAGGTAATACTTTGAAAACCTGTTCTCCACAAAATTCGAAAATTTAAAGGAAATGGGACAATTTTCTGGATAGATACCACTTACTAAAATTAAATCAAGAATAAATAAGACATTTTAACAGACCTATGACCCCTAATGAAATAGAAACAGTCATCAAAAGTCTCCCAACCAAAAAAAAACACAAAAACAACAACAACAACAAAAACCAAACAACCAAAAACAAAAAACAAAAAAAACCAAAAACGCCAAGGCCCAAATGGCTTCAGTGCAGAATTCTACCAGAATTCAAAGAAGAGCTAATTCCAATACTCCTCAAAGTGTTCCACACCATAGAAGAAAAAGGTTCTTTTTATGAGGCTACAATTACCTTGGTACTCAAGCCACACAAAGACACAACTAAGAAAGAGGGCTACAGACAAATATTGTTCATGAACATTGATGCAAAAATATTCAATGAAATACTAACAAATAGAATCCAAGAACACATTACAAAATCATACACCATGATCAAATAGTTTTCATCCCAGGGATGCAGGAATGTTTAAACATATGAAAATCTATCAATGTAATCCACCATATAAACCAACTGCAGAAGAAAAACTACATGATCATCTCATTTGATGCAGAAAAAGCTTTTTGACAAAACCGTTTCATGATAAAGGTCCTGGAGAGATCATGGATAACAGGATCATACCTGAACATAATAAAAGCAATATACAGTAAACCAACAGCCAACATCAAACTAAATGGAGAGAAACTCAATGAATTCCTCTAAAATCAGGAACATGACAAGACTGTCCATTCTCTCCATACCTCTTCAATATTGTACTTGAAGTTGTAGCTAGAGAGTTAAGAAAGACAACAAAAGAAGATCAAGGACATACAAATTGGAAAGAAAGAAGTCAAACTTTCACTATTTGCAAATGATATGATAATGCTATGATTGTTTACATTATTGACCTGAAAAACTCTACACAGGAACTTCTACAACTGATAAACACTTCAGCAAAGTGGCAGGATACAAGATTAACTAAAAAAATCAGTAGCCCTATTATGTACAGAATACACATGGGCAGAGAAAGAAATCAGAGAAATATCAACCTTTACAACAACTACAAACAACATAAAATATCTTGGGATGACATTAACCAAACAAGTGGAAGACATGCATCACAAAAACTTTGAGTCTTTAAAGAAAGAAATTAAAGAAGATATGAGAAAATAGAAAGATCTCCCATGCTCTTGGATAGGTAGGATCAACATAGTAAAAATGGCAATCTTGCCAAAAGTAATCTACAGATTCAATACAATACTCATCAAAATCCCAGCACAATTCCTCACAGACCTTGAAAGAACAATACTTAACTTTATATGGAAGAGGAGATGAGGACATGGAGGAGAAGGTAGGTTGAGTTGGCAGAAGAATAGAGGAGAGCAGGATGAGAGATACCATAATAGAGGGAGTCATTTTAGGTTTGAGGGAGAGATCTGGCACCAGTGAGATTTCCAGAGATCTACAAAGAAGACACCAACTGGCAAACTAGGCAGTAGTGGAGAGGCTACCTTAAGTGCCGTTCCCTGATAATGAGATTCATGACTACCCTATATGCCACCTTAGAGCCTTCATCCAGGGGCTAATGGAAGCAGAAGCAGACACCACAGCTAAACACTGAACTGAACTTCTGGAACTCAATTTCAGAGAGGGAGAAGTGATGAGCAAAGGGGTCATAACCAGGAGGATGAAACCCACAGAAACAGCTGACCTGAACAAGGAGGAGCTCATGGACCCCAGACTGGTGACTGATAGGCCAGCATGGGAATGATCCAGAACCCCTGAACTTGGGGGTCAGTGTGGAGACCTTGGAAATCTTTGGGACCTCGGGTACTGGATCAGTATTTATCTCTGGTATCCATATAGACTTTGGGAGCCCATTCCAAATGGAAGGATGCTCTCTCAGACTTGACATGTGGGGGAGGGCCTAGGATATGATAGACTTTGGAGATGCCCCATGAAGGGCCTTACCTTCCCTGGAGAGTTCAGTGGTGATTGGGTGG